TTTCTTGAATTTCTACTTAATTAAAAAATCTATATTATAGGTAGAACAGTCATAGCCTTATTACTAATAACAGGTTTGGATCTGACCACAGTAGCAAAAATGTTCATTTTTCTGTCTAGGCTTGTAACTGTTCGCCCAAAGTCCCAAGGATGTCTTACTGAAACATCCTGTACTTTTGGCCTATCTTGGTGTTGATGTATGTCCCTAGAGTCTCCGTTCTTAGGTTTAATCCTCAGATATTACTCTTACATTTAATGTCTCCTTTCAGTGATTCTTTCTTATTTCTTGTCTTCTTCTGTCTGCCTGTGATTGCTGAGGTTTCTCTGTACTTAGGACTAGGATTTGGGCCTTTATTTTCCCGTGATTTCTGGAACTTGGATGGATTGCCTTCGGTTGGTTGATGTTTCTGAGAGGGCAGCTGTGGCCTTTGAGTTGAAAGCTGGGCAGAGGGCATTGCATCTACATTGCCTTGTGATCATGAGCGAGATGTTGGCCATTGTCCCTCCCAGTTCGTAGGGGAAGTCTAATAATGCTTATGGTGGGGACTCTTGGTATGATGTCAGCTGAGTGCTTTGGGATCTTTAAGGGTCTGTAATAATAACACACAGCTTCTGGATCTAGTAAAAGAAGGATTGTGAGGCCACAGTTGAGTTTTCAGATGTCAGATTTGCCCCTAAATCTCTGGGATGAGACAGAGAGGCTGGGCCTCTAAATCTTGTATCCCCTGGGCAGAGCCAATAATCCAGCTCCCTCTTTTACCCTCCCCAAGGCTGGTACAAAACTTTCAGTGAGCAGATTGTCAAATGATGCTTTATTCCTTTATTGCAGAGACCCCACTGGCATTGTTGGTGGTAGGCCTGGGTGGGGGCAGCCTCCCCCTGTTTGTCCACGATCATTTCCCGAAGTCCTGCATTGATGCTGTGGAGATCGACCCCTCCATGTTGGAAGTGGCCAGCCGGTGGTTTGGCTTCTCCCAGAGCGACCGGATGAAGGTCCATATTGCAGATTGGCTGGACTATATTACCAGCCTGGCAGGAAGAGAAGGTACTGCTGTTGGAGAATTTGGAGGGGTGTTGAGGGAAGAGTCATCCAAAGTCGGCAGGCCTGCAAGGGCCTCTAGAATTCATCTTGAACAATTAGCATTGTCCCAGTCTTTCCCCCGTTGATTTGTTCATTCATCGGTTGATGTATTGCCTCAGTAAATCTAGAGTGCCAGCCATGTGCCCAGCACTGTGCTAGGGGCTGGGGTACAGCAGCACATAAAACCGACCATTTCTGCCCTTGGGGTGCTGACAGCTCAGTGGGCTTTTCTCCTGGTTCTCTTCTGACTCTGTGTCCTTGCCACTTCCTCATCCTCCCAAGGAACCTAAGGTCTGTAGCCGGGTGAGGAAAAGGGGAAGAAAAGTTGGGGTGTGTGTTGGGAGTTGTTTTTTTAGTCTTTGAGCTGCGGGTGAAGCAGAGAGAGAGCCAAACAGCATTCGTGTAGATCAGTGGCTGTACACCTGGGGGCATCGGGCAGTGTCTACACACACGTCTTTGGTCCTTATAACCGCAGGGTGAGGGTGCTTCTGACAGTGAGTGAGTAGAGACCAAAGATCCTGCTAAACGTCCTACTGTGCACAGGACAGCCACCCCTGACAAAGAATTATCTGTCCCCAATGTCAGTAGTGCTGAGGTTGAGAAACCCTGAAGCAGATGCTACTCAGTGGGAATTCTGGTGGCCGTGCTGCTGCTGGAGTTAGGGCTCCATTTTGCTCTATTTCCTTAGGACTTAAGACAAAAGGCATATTAATGTTCTGCAATAGCTCCTTTGCTTCTTTTGCCTCTTTTATGTAGGCTCCTGGGGATGGTGCATACCAGAGCAGGAGTCCCTCAGGGAGAAGTCAGTCAGGTTGGTTCAGTTAAGTGAACCTGGGAGCTCGGGCCACCCACCCTTCCTGGTCTGCCCATTCCATAACTGATCCTCTGGTTCTCACTGGATCAGATGCCCGGAGTGAGTACTTTGGTGCTGGGATGGACAGATGGTGCAGGAATTTTAATTGCAAACTGAACTTCCCGGAGTGAGTACTTTGGTGCTGGGATGGACAGATGGTGTAGGAATTTTAATTGCAAACTGAACTTAAGTATATATCAAGAGTCTCACAGGTTACCTCTCTGAGGCTGGGGCCAGTGTGGGGGCCCAGGCCCAACACAGCTAGTACATGGGAAATATTTAAAACTGCACTAGGCTCATGGCAGGCACTCAGTCTGTGATGTGTTGCCATCGTTACTTCCCATCAGTCAGTTTTGAACAGCCTGGCAATCGTCTCTAACAACCACCTTCCACATTATTGGAGGGCTCACTGCTACAAATGTGGGCAGTGGTTATCCTTGGACTTTGACGAGCCAACGTGTTCTGCTCTCTAAGAAACCAAAACGAGATCTGTGCCATGCACAGTAATGGGCATGCAGTAGTCCTGTGTCAGTATTTATTAATTATTGAATAATCATTATCATAGTCTCAGAGTTTGCTGAAAGTCCGTAGCATTGCAAGCTTACCCCTTGTAAAAACTATTTCCATTATAGCAAGGAGTGCATCTGATCCTTCATCAGTTCTTTCTCACCCATTTAGCAAAATCTTTCTTGAGACAGCTATTTTTCAAGTACTAGAAAAGATACACTAACTTTAATTTGAGAACATTTTCTCCTGCAAGCATTTGCTGGGTCAGCTCCAAAAGACTTAGGCAGCTGCTTTGCCTAAATCAATAGTTCTCAATTCTGCCTGTATTTCGAATTACCTGGGAGTTTAAGAAAAATGCCTGAGGTTTCCTATCTCCCCTTCCACCTGTTCTTTCCCACACCAGGGTTTTTGACCCTGAAATATTGAAGTATTTTGAATATTCCCAGGTGACCGTAATGTTCTGCTGGGATTGAATATTACTGGTATAGATGGACTCTTAACCAAGTAGTAATCATGCTAGCACGGATCCCATGAATGTGTGTGCTTATGGAAGGTGCTTTTAAATGTGGAGGAAAAGATCAAGTAAAAGCCCTGTCAGGGCGCCTGGGTGGCTCAGTCATTAAGCGTCTGCCTTTGGCTCAGGTCATGATCCCAGGGTTCTGGGATCGAGCCCCGCATCGGGCTCACTGCTCAGCTGAAAGCCTGCTTCTCCCTCTCCCACTCCCTGCTTGTGTTCCCTCTCTCGCTGTGTCTCTCTCTGTCAAATAAATAAATAAAATCTTTAAAAAAAAAAAAAAAAAAAAAGCCCTGTCTGTCATGTGGGGTGCTCACAGCAGAACCCTAATGGACAGTGACTCCCCTGGACAGTGACGTCAGTGCCCTTACACAGACAAACCACAACCTCCATGTCATCCTTCTGACTTAGCCACCTGCGGCCACCACAGGTCACAGGGAAAAGTAGATGGTCTTAGACAAAGACTTGTTTGCTTCTCTTTCCCAGGATGGCCCCACTACAATGTCGTCATGTTTGATGTCGACAGTAAGGACCCAACACTGGGAATGAGTTGTCCATCACCAGCTTTTGTGGACCAGCCTTTCCTGCAGAAGGTCAAAAGCATCTTGACTCCTGAAGGTAGGAGGTACAAAAGGTTGGAGAGGGAGGAGGGATGGGTCCTTTAAAAATTGTTTTCTTTTAATGAAAAATGGGTCTGTCATAAGTGTGTAGCTCGATGAATTTCCCTGAATTGAACACACCCTTTTACTCTCATGAAACACAGAACACTTGTAGCCCCCCAGAAAGTCCACCTCTTACCTCCTTCCAGTAACTCCTCCTGTCAAGGATAACCCATATCCTAACTTCAGTCAGTACAGCTTAGTTTTGCCCATTTTTGTTCTTTGTATAAATGGAATCTTAAAAAATGTATTCTTTGTGTTTTTTTCTTTCATTAACATGATCTTTGTTTCATCCATAGTGTGTACATTGTTCCTTTATAGTGTGGTGTAGTATCCTTATGTGACTATTACCACATTCATTTCTCCATTCTGTCATCGGTATTTGGATTGTTTCCCATTTGGGGCTTTTATTTTATTTTATTTTTTTTTAAGATTTTATTTATTTATTTGAGAGAGAGAGAATGAGAGACAGAGAGCATGAGAGGGAGGAGGGTCAGAGGGAGAAGCAGACTCCTCGCTGAGCAGGGAGTCCGATGCGGGACTCGATCCCGGGACTCCAGGATCATGACCTGAGCTGAAGGCAGTCACTTAACCAACTGAGCCACCCAGGCGCCCCCATTTGGGGCTTTTAAAAGTAGTCCCCGCTCTGGTGATGAAGTCCAGACTCCTCCATCTCTGCCCCCAAAAGGAATCTGTGTATTTGAAAGGTTGGTGCTTGCCATGAGCATTTGATGTGCCTCCCAGCCCCTCAGAGGCTACACTAGTGACCTGGCATCACCAGACACTGGCCTTGATCCAGGGCCCTTCTCCCCTGACTTCCTCAGCTGGCCCAGGTGCAGTATGCATCCAGGTAGCCTGCACCTGGGGCCCTCCAGCAGGGGAGTTGTGGTTGGTCCCTAAGGACCTGCCAAGCCTCCAGTCCTGTAGGAGCCCACTGCACCCAGCAAACCTTTTTTAGGGCACTGCTTTCTTTGGACAGCAGTTGGTCCCCCTTTGGACCGGCTGCCAGAGACCCCAGGTTTACCAGTAATGAGGCTTCCAGGTGTGTCTTGTTGAACACTGCCCCAGGTGGCCACCTGGCAGTCCAGTCGCCCTCCAGCTTTCCCTTCAGGGCGATTGTGCACACTGGAGTACGTTGCATCTGGGATTTATATATATGCCTTGTAGCCGGGACAGCCCATTCCCCGGCTGCTTCTCCAGACACTTGCCCTCCTCCCGGCCTCTGACTGCCCTGACTTGGGCGGCTCGTGCAGGTGCACTACGGGCCCTCCAGGCCTGTGGAGCCCCTGCTTGTGCAGTTACCTGCTGATCCTTGTGGGCGTAGGGATCCCGGCCCCAAGAGGCCTTCCGAGGTAGCAGCTGGAAACTGAAGGCAGCCAGTCCCAGGCTGGGTTGCTGGCTTCTCCACCACTCTGTAGTGCCGGGTGTGTCTTACTGGAAGGTAGCACCACTGCTTGGTGGGGCCTGGGGTCCAGGCTCTAGCCCCAGTCCAGCGGGGTAGGCCATTTTCTCCAGCTCTGCCTTCTGGGGAACTATGAGCATCGATGTAGGGTAAGGCTTAGAATGAGGCAGATGCCAAGGGCCCTAAATAGCCCCCTTTTCTGAGCCAAGCCTGTCTTGTCATTTTGCTCCTCTCAGCTGCCACCTCCTATGCATGGGCAGTCTGTAGCCTGTTAGCAAGCCTTGGTTTTCAGGGAACATCCCAGGTCCCTAAAGTTTTGAATGATCTCTGGCAACTGAATGGACTCAGGGTGTGAAGAGCTTATACCCTGAAAAATATTTCTTAGGCTCCTTTTGATACTGGGAACTTTCAGTCCCCATTTGGACCAACTACTTGATTGTGTCCTGGGCTCCTCAGGTGCCCAGTCAGGCTTTCAGGTGTCTCTGTTAGAGGTTATCCTGTGTGACTTACTCATACCTGCCCTTGCAAGGCAGTCCAGATTTTTCTAGCTCTGCCTTCATTGGGATCTTTCATATTTTTGAATGTTTGTGCTTGGAATTAGGCAGAGTTTTCACACACCTGAAAGCAGGCACCAGCTACCTGGCCTCTGCAGGCACTTCTCCTGTGCTGGGTGCCAGGTGAGGGCCCAGTATGCACTTTGTCTGCAGCTGTAACTTTACAGGACTGTGGGCTTCTTAGTGAAGAACCATGTGCTCAACCTCCAAGGTGATAGGATCTCACACCCCAGAAACCATTATGAAACATTCAGTTCACATTTGGACTGACTGCATGATCAGATTTCCTGCTTCTTTGGTAATCAATGCTCCCTGATGTATTCTTTTGGGAGATAGCCAGGCCACCTCATCAGATGCAGCCCTGGCATAGAGTCTAGAGTTTTCCTGCTTTGTCTTCAAGGGGAATATTTACATTTTTTGAAATTATGGCTTGGGATAAAGCAAATGTCATTATCCCCAAATAGCCCTCTTCTCCGACCGTGCTTACCAGACATTGCCTTGTTTTAGGTCTTCTACTATCCTGAGTTTGTGCTCTCTGTGCCCTGACGGCTGGCCTTGGGCTGCCAGGGCTACTCCAGGCCTATGGAGCTTTGGCCAGATCTTAACCACCTGAATGTCCTCAGGGTGAAGCAATCTCTCACCCAAAATATTTCAGCAATGGAGCTTTAAACTGGTAATCGTCCCATTGATACTTGCTGTCTAATGGTATCCCAGGATTCTCCAGCAAGCAATGCTCCTGGGTTTCTGTTTTTGGAGGTTATCCAGGCCATCATGTCTTGGCAAGGAAGTCCATATTCCCCGAGCTTTACTTTTAGGAGTATAATACCTATTTGTGTGAGTTAAACTCTATAATAGGCAGATCCCATGTACCCCTGTTATCCCAATCTGTGTCCTGTCCTTTCAAGACACTTACTCCGTCCCACGTTTCTGGCTTCCCTGACTTAAGCAACCTGTGCTTGCTAAGTACATCCCTGTTTGCTGCCCTAGGGCAGCTGGAGCCCTCCAGGCCTGTAGAGCTAGGGCCCATCTTCAACCACCTGCATTGGAATGAACCCACCCACTGAAAATTACTTGGAGGCAGTTGCTGAAAAGAGTGGCCGTCTGTCCCCGTGTGGACTATCTGCCAGGGTCCCTGGCTTCTATAGCAGTCAGCGTTCTCACGTATCTCCTATTAGAGGATACCCCAACAAGCCATCAGATTCAGCCCTGGCAAGGCAGGCCAGGTTACTCTAGCTCTGCCTTCAGTGGTGGTATGCACATTTGTGTAGGTTAGGTTGGAATTAGTCAGATACCTTGTAATTCCAAGAGTCCGTTCCTTCATCTCAGTCTTCTGGACACTTGCCCTGTTCTAGGTTCCTGGCTACCCTGACCTTTCGTTCTGACACATGGATAGTGTGTACCCCATCAGCTGCCTTTAGGCAGTGGGAACTCTTAAAGTATGTGGGTCTAGGACCCATCCAGAACCATCTGCATTATCGCAAGGGGAGGGAGCCCATCCACTGAAAATTGCCCTGAGGTAGCTGCTGAAATGAGTGTAAATCAGGCTCCATGTGGAGTTGCTATTTGAAGGGACCCCAGGCTTAGAATTCTAAGAAGTAAGACTCCCAGGTATTTCTTAATGGAGGATACCTTGTTCTGCCTGTTCATGCCTCTTCATCATGAGACAGTTAAAAAAAAACTCCAGCTCTGCCATGGTCGGGGATATTCCACAATGTGTAGATAAACCTTTGTGATTAGGCTGACATTTTGTACCCGTAGGAGCCTGCTCCTGTCACCTGGCCTCTTCAGCACTCGATCCTTTCTGGGTTTCTGGCTACCCTGACCTGCTTGGCCCATGGACGTGCTGACCACACTGTCTTGTGGATCTCTGGCCAAGCTCAACCACGACATAGCCTCCTGCATGGAGGAAGCCAACCCCCACCAAATCCTTCTGAGGGAGCAGCTGCAAATGGACGACAGTCCCCATTTAGACTGGCTGCCTACTGGGATCCCGGCTTTCTCCAGTGACCAGGGCTCCCAGGTGTCTCCTATTGGAGGATATCCTGGCCAGACTGCTTGGATGCTCCATGGCAGGCCAGTTGAATAACCTTTAGGGCTGCCTTCATGGGGAATTCCCTATCTGGCCTGTAGGGCTTTCAATTAGGCATAAACCCTATCCCCTAAGAGTTTGCTCCTGTGCTCTAGCATCTCCCGACCCCTGTCCTGTTCCAGATCCCTGGCTTCCCTGAATAGCACTGCATATGCATATGCTGTATGCACATTCAGCAGGCTTTGGACAGCAGGGTCCTAGAGTCACAGAGAACTAGGACTGGACCCAACCAGCTGCATAGCCTCCAGGAAGGAATGAGTCCACCCCCCAATAATCACACTGAGGCAACAGATTGCTGATCGTCCCCGTTTGCACTTGCTACTTGATCAGGCTCTGGCTTCTTTAGCAAATGGGACTCCCAGGTGTCTCCTACTGAGGTGCACCTGCTAGACACCCAGCCCACAATGACAGAAGGAATGCAGTATGCTGCAACTCTGTCTCCAGGGGCAATACGTGTATTTGTATAGCCTAAGACTTAAAATTAAGCCCATTCCTTGTTCTTTACACGTCTACATTTGTGTCAGCCTCTTGACCCTTGCTACAGTACAAATACCTGGCAACCCTGACCCCACCCCCCTCCCCTGCACGTGCATACACAGTACACACCCCTGTAGCAGGCTGTGGGTAGCCCAGGCTAACCTGGGAAACTGACCTCCCCTGACCACCTGCATGCCTCCAGCTTGGAGGGAGCCCACCCCTGGAAATCACTCAGAGGCAGCTGCAAATTGGCAACAGTCAGTCCCCATTTGGACTTCCTTCTTGATCCAGTTCTGGGCTGCTTTTGCATCCAGGGCTTCCAGGTATCTTTTATTGGAGGATACGTGAGCCGGCTGTCCAGCCCACCCTGGCAAGGTAGTCCAGCATCCTCCTCTGCCTTCATGAGGATTATGGGTGTTTGTGTAGGCTAGGGCTTA